TGTAACAGCAGCTACAGCTGCAGCTCGATAAAAATTACTTGGTGAATATCTTCCAGTAGTAGTTCCTATTGAATTTGAATTCGTATTTGTACTTGTTGTTGCTTGTGATGATATAAATGAAGTTGATGTATTAGGAAATGATAATTTACTTATTGGCATTATTGATGATGATTGTTCAATAGATGATGTACTTGTAAGCATTGTGTGTATGTGTGGGTGTGTTTTTTTTATATTTTATTTATTAGAATCAATCAATAATTTACTTTATGTTTGAGCTATCATTATTATTAACAATGAATTGAAAATATTCTTTTTTGGTACACTTGAATGATTATATGTCTATGTTGATGTTGTTTTATGTATGGATATGCTAAATAATAAATAAATATATACATAGTTAAAAAAGAAATGCATTCAATCATAATAATTTATCAATATTCATTCATTCATTCACTCACTCACACAAGAGAAAGAGATATATATATATAATCAATATGACTGGCCAGACTGAGTTGTTCTGGTAACTGCTTTCTGTTGGTCGTGATGGTTAGAAAAAAAAAAAGGTGTAGGTTGCCTGCAAGAGTTTTTTTCTTCTTTTTTTTTTCTCTTCACTACTGCTGTTCGTTCCGTGAATGATTAATGATAAATAAGAAATGAGAGAGACCTTTTTCTTCGATTAGACAAGAGCGAGAGACCGAGAGAGAGAGAGAAAAAAAAAGCGGAAAGAAAATTTACCTGTAGAGAAAAGATAAAAAAATTTGTTCATTGGTTGTTCATGTTTCTCATTAACCAATGGATGACGTTTAACAATATGAGTGTTACAACATCTGTCTGTCATCTTTAGCTGAGTAAAGAGAGAAGATTTCCCCAAGCGCCAGCGACACGCGAGGCGACGATCAGTTCTATGTTCTTTTCTATACACAAGTATTATCTTTTTTTTTTTTGTGCCTCTCTCTTACTTTAATTCAATCGAACTCGAATTCTTCTTTTCTTTTGTTGTCGTGCAATGAGATAGGTGATAGAGGTAAAAATGATATAAATAAGTTAATACTCGTAAAAGCCCATTTGAACAAATGAGCGGTCCACCATCATCAACTATTCACGTTATATTCTATTCTTTTTTTTCTTTTTCTTTTTCTATATATTAAGTAAAGAGTAGGGAATCTAAAAAAGACATTTTCTTTTCTCATCAATTTTTATTCAAAATTATATAGATGTATAAAAGATATCTTATTAAGATAATAGATATATCCTTAAAAAAAAAAACATAGAATTGTAAATGATTATAAAATTGTATAGACAAAAAAAATCTTCTTCCATGAAAAATAATGACATTTGTTCTTGTCAAATAATTATTAATTCAAAACCTTTTTTTTTTACCATTAAGAATAAAGTATATTTTATATCTGGATGAAAATCTCTACTTTTACATAAAATTCGATAGATAATATTTTCTTCGTTTTACAATATTTGAAATCAAGATGAGATATTATATTCATGTACTAAAAAGTTGTTATGACATTGAATAGATAAAATTTCATCTGCTGAAAAAAAAAGGAATCATTTTAATAAAAAACAAAAATTCTATTTCACATTGACTCCTCTTTTTTTATCATATGAGTTGTTTTTTTATTTCTTTGATCTACTCGTTTTTTTTTCAGGTACTTATTGAGTTATTAGATTTCCGTTTCTCATTAATTCATATACATACAATCCTTGTACACTTGCCCGAAGGCAACCACAAACATACGCACCGACGTGTGCACCAAAAAAAAAGAGAGAGAGAGAGAGAGGGAAAATCAATTTTTAATACAGTGTTACGCATCAGATTGGAAAAAAAATATGTATGTGTATTCTACGACTGATGATGTGTTTGCTTGAAGTAAACTAGTCTAGAATATTTTTATTCAACTGAGAAAAAGACCAGATGGAGTTTTCTTTTCTTTTTGTCAAATTATTGCTTGTACTTGTGATCTTATTTCTGCTTCTTGTCTGTCGTGATGATGATGAGTGCAAAGAGTGAGTGAAGCACGCCTTCACATTCATTTATTCATTTATGTTCGTCACGTAAGGAGCCGACTCCGAGACTATTGTCGTCATATATATATGTGTAGGAGTGACATTGTCCGTTTGTGAGAGTATTTTCAGATGACACTTGAGCAAAACATACAACAACGCTTATCATAATTGTTTGACCATATTAATTACTATTCTTTATTTTCTGCATTCGCTACTTTCTTTGGTGTTTTTATTTCAGATAAGACGCATAAGATTCAGTTACTGGTTTTGTTGACATTCGGTGTTAGATTTGAAAATGAATCAAAAGATTATGCCAATCATTTTTTTTTGTCGGTGAATAGCTTCGAGCAATGAGAAAAAAACCAGAAATAACATTATTTTTTTTCATTTGTCTACATATGTATTTATGACCAGATGGGAAAAAATACTAAGAAATATTCTCATCGATTATCTATATTGAACGGAATACAATGATGACTCCCTCGATAATATATTTTTCGTACTTTTTTGTTTTTTGTATTTTAACAATTGTGACGTGAAAAAAAACGTGATGTATGAGTGTATCTCTCAAGAGAACATAAAAAATAGAGGCGGAACTAGGTCATTCAACATTGATACTAAACTGATCGATTACACGAGATAACAGATGGTAATCGATAGCGACACTAGCTCACCTTTTGTCATTCTTTTGCTGAGTTTTTCTTTTTTTCTTTTGTTTTTTGATGTGTGCATCTCGTGAACGAGAAGAACAACAGTTATTATTTTGAGTAGTGATGTTATTTACTCTTTGTTTCTTCGTTGGCCATCTGGTAATAGCGAGACCACTTGTCGTGTCACGAAATGGTTTTTTTCTCGTTTCCATATGGTAAGCATATATGTGTAAATGGAATTTATTAATAATAACAAAAAGCCAATCAATTAGATACTATTTTTTATGCTTGAATCATTTTAATGTTTGATATTATTCAAATACCAGTTTGGACAAAAACAGATTTTACAATGAAAGAATTGAACGATCGAATCTTCGTCAGATGTCGTTAGTTCTTCGTTTGAATAAAAAATAAAATTCTTTTGTTAGTGAGTTACCTCGGAGATTTTAGTAAAAATGGCAAATTCATACATACAACTAGTAGTGATCAGAAAAATTCAATTGTTTGTTTTTTTGAGAGAACTATGAGGTAATTATGAATTCAAAAAAATTTTCATTATTTGAATAGAATGTATTCATTGATATATAGTACGGCAATTCCAATTGCGGAACAGCTTTATGTTGGACTCTATTGTTCTGATTGTGCTTGCCAAACAGAACAAAATGAAATTGTTCCATTGAAACATACAACTAAATTATTGGAAAAAGTTTATCATGTATAAAGATTTCTTTCGTTTATAATTGATAAATATATTTTTATATAATTTATAGGAAATTGAATGGCTTAAAAGTGAATTAACTTTCACTCGTGAAAGTTTACGATCATCATTTTATGATGAATTACAAACAAATGGACAACAAATGTAAGATCTACTAATATAGCTTTCTATTTTATTCATTCTACTTATTAAGATATTACCAATTGACAGACAAACTTGATGTATTAAGAAAAAATCATAGTAAAGTAAGCATTTTTAATTTAAGAAACAATAATTTATGAAATTGATTTTTATTAGGCACTTGAAACATTACGACTTTCATATCGTAGTCAGTTACATGATTTTATATCACAAGCAAGAAGTATTATTAATGTAAAAATAAAAAAATTTTTCACATTATTCTATAGAAAAAAATAATGAACGTTTTTTTTTACGTAAATTGTAGAGTGATAAACCTACATCATCTGAATCAATTATTCAAAAGCAACAATTGGGAAGTGAAAATCAAGAAAAATCATTTTTTCAACAAGCAGCGATGAAAGGTTATGAAACAGAAATAGCTAATTTAAAAAAAGAAATTGAACAATTACAAGAAACAACTAAAGTTCGAAATATATTTTGATTTATATTTTCAAAATTCTTCATCTTTTATATTTTAGTATGAAATTAAAATAGCTACAGGTTTTCTTAACGATGAAAAAGATCGTTTAACTAAAGAATTAACTAATGTTAATCGAACAATCGCTCAATCAGAAGATACAATTATGAAAAAAGATGAACAAATTCGAGATCTTAGTAATATATTTTATAAACAATTATGTTTTTTTTTTTCTATTAAAAAAAAAATCTTCGTCTATATTTAGAACATGATCTAGCTACTGTTCAAAGTAAAGTAAAAGAATCAAAAAAGGTTACAGTCCGTGAACCAACACCAACGCCAACTGTTGTAACACAATCACGTTTAGCTCAAACTGATCCATGGATACCATCACCCGTAAAGGATAACTCAGAAGATACTAATAAAGAATTTCAAGCACTGATGCAAACTAAAGTTGAAGCACTTGAACATAAATATCAAACAATTATTGAACAAAAAAATTCTCAAATACAACAATTAATGCAAGACGTACAAAAATAACTATCTTCGATAACCAAAAAAAAAAAAAAGAAAATTCTTTTTATTTCATCTTTAGGTTGATACACAGCAAAAGACATTTAAAAGTAAATTAGAAAAATATATCACTATGGAAGAACGTCATCGAAATGATATGAAACGGTAAAAAATATTTGATTAAAATTAGTTAAAAAATTGTTCCATTCTTAAAATGTATAGACATTCTGAAAAACATAAACAAGACATTCAAATGTGGGAAACAAAATATGATATACTCAAGAAAAGGTATTTAATTTGATTACTTGTTTTTTTTTTCATTTAATTAATTTATTTTCATTTTAGTATGACAGTTCTACGTGACGAAATGTATACACGACAAACACATATTCGTGATCGATTTATTGCTAAACCAGCTGTAGTTACATATAATTAATTCTAAAAAAACTTATATGATTTTTTTTTTCTTTATAAAATTTAAGTCAGATATAATATTTTTTTTTTATTCATCGATTCCATTCTTAAGTTTTTCATGTCTTTGCAAAACAATAAAAGTACATAAATTATCTGTTCGCAAAAGATATTCCAATTTTTTTGTCTTTAAACGTAATTCAACAACATCTTTTAAACCTATAGAATTAATTGTACGTTTGATACGTTCAAGAAATGGTTGTAATTGTGTGACTAAATTTTTCGTATATTCTTCATCAAATGTTGTTCGAATAGGTACACCTTTGTTTTTTTTTTATTTAAACAATAATATAAAATAGAATTAAAACGAAAAAAGATATATATTCATATCAAAGTGCCTACCACTTGATGTCATACAAATATAACCAGTGACATGTTCAAGAGTTTGGACTCGATCAAGTGCAGTTTGGATTTCTCTCAAGGCCATCTATTGACCGAGAAAAAATTTCGTCTTAAATCAGACTAAATAATCAATTTTAAAATTTATTGGCGCGTGTAAAAAAGTATTATCTTATGAATATTTTGAAATGGCATGAATGTAGTTATTTGATCTATACGGCAAAATCTTTCGAGTTATTTACGCCATGCATAGACATATATATATATATATATGAAGTCATACTTGTTTTGACAGTCGACAATAGTCTTCATTTTCACGTTCTCTATGTCGGACGCTGTTTGCTCTTCTTTTTTTTTCTTTTCTCGGTTCGGGTTTTCTTCCGTCTTTTTGTTGTTGTTGTAGGCTTCGCTTCAATTTGGTTGAAGGCATACACAACATATACACAAACAACACAACCATAGAGAAAGACTTGGTCGGGAAATGCAATTTTCTCTTCTTCGATTTCCTCTTTCCTCCAATGTTAGTGGTGAGGGTAGATCGCATGCCGAGCGTAATGCATTGCAACGACAACGGCATTGACGACAGTGAGTAGAAGAAAAAAGAAAGTAGAATGAGAAGAAGAAGAATCGAGACATGGGAACTGAACGCGCTGTTAGAAGTCAATAATAGTCGGACGGGATATGTTAATTGTTGTCTATAAAGACGAAATAACTATAAAAGGTAAGAAAAAAAAAAGAATATAATATTTCACATGTTTTCTTTGATTTTTATTATGTATGAATAGATTATTTTGTAACAAAGATAATACAGCTATGTTATTGGACCATTTTTATATTAATAAATATAGTTTATTATTTTTTTTCTGCATATATCATGGATGTCTTGTTATATTTATTCATTCTATTACTGTTGCACATCAACTTCCAATAGATATATTACCTCCGATACCCAGTAAACAAGATAAAACTCTATGGATTGGTGGTAAATATATTTTTTCTATTTAAATATAATAATTTAATATTTTCTTTAAAGGAATGTTTCCTCAAACAGGCGAATGGGCAGGTGGTGAAGCTGCTTTTCCTGCAGCTCTTAAAGCTCTTGATCAAATAAATCAACGTGAAGATATTTTACCCGGTTATTATCTAAATTTGTCTGCTTATGATACAAGAGTAAATAATTCATTATTGTTTTTTTTTAATATAAAAATTACTTTTTTTAATTTTTAATTAGTGTTCACCCGGTTTGGGTACAACAATTTTATATGAATTACTCTATAATAAAACATTTGGTAGTGTAAATAGTTCTATATTAATGTTACTTGGCCCAGCTTGTAGTCCCGTATCAACAGCTGTTGGTGAAGCAGCTAAAATGTGGAATTTAATTGTACTTTCATATGGATCAAGTTCACCAGCACTGTCAAATCGTGTTCGTTTTCGTACTTTTTTTCGTACACATCCACCTGCTACATTACATAATCCAACACGTATAAAATTTTTTGATTTATTTGGTTGGAAACGTATTGCTATATTAATTCAAACCGAAGAAGTTTGGCAATCAACAGCTGAACATTTAGAAACATTAGCACGTCAACATAACGTTCATGTAAGTAAAATAAATAAATATATAGTTACATTAAAAAAATTTTAAAAATAAAAATCTAAAAATTTATCTATTTTAAAGATTGCTGTACGACAATTATTTGATAATGATCCTTCACATGCTATTAGCAATTTAAAAAAGGATGATATTCGTATTATTGTTGGATTATTTTATGAAGAAAAAGCAAGAAAAGTCTTTTGTAAAGTAAGATATATAAATATTTAATTGTAAATAAAATTTTTATAATATTTTTCAAGGCTTATCAACAAAATTATTACGGAGAAAGTTATGTATGGTGGTTGATTGGATGGTAAATATTCTTGTGTTTTTTTCTTTTTCGATAAATAAAATTCAATCTATAAATATTTGCATATATATTTAATTATTTTAAGGTATGCCGATAATTGGTTTGTTAAAGTACATGATGTTGAATGTACAGCTGAAGACATGTCTCGTGCAGTTGAAGGACATTTTACAACAGAAATACAAATGTTAACCGATGCAACAACAAAAACTATATCAGGTTTAACAGCTCAAGAATTTATAACTGATCTTAATTCAACATTAAGACAATTATTTCCTACTAAACCTATTGAATCTATTGGTGGTTATGTTGAAGCACCTCTTGCTTATGATGCAACATGGGCATTAGCATTAGCACTTAATCGTTCATTACAAAGAACAAATTTAGAAGAATGGACATATGGAAATACATATATGAAAGAAATTATGTATGTAAAAAGAAAATGATTAGCATATAGAGTTATTTTTTCTTTTTTTTTGTTTTGTATATAGGATGGATGATATGGAAAGAACAGATTTTTTTGGTGTTTCAGGTTCTGTAAAATTTGATAAATTAGGCAATCGAATGTCAAAAGTTGTTGTTGAACAACTTCGAAGTAAGTTTTATGAATTGTTATTGTTAATTAAATAAAATATTTTTATTTTTTTTTTATTTATTTTTCTTCAGATGGTCTTTATCATCGTTTGGCTCGTTTTGATGCTGAAAAAGGTTCAATTGAATGGTTAAGTGGTGAAGAACCAGATGGTAGTCGTTGTTGGAATTATAAATATAATTATTCATCAAGTAATTTATATTAAAAAATTTATTTATGTTTAAAATTAAATTTTTTTAATTTGAAAGATAATGAAAAACGTCGTTCAGCTCCATTTGATCAATTACAAATTTCTCATCAAGTTCAAGAAATTTCTCGTCCATTATATTTAACAATGAGCTGTTTTGCAGCACTTGGTCTTCTTTTTGCTATTATTTGTCTTATACTAAATATTGCTTATCGAAAGCGAAAGTAAGAATAAATTATTTAACAAATTCAAAAAAGGAAAAGATTTTCTTTGGTTTTCAATAATTCTTTATTGAAGATTTATTTGGCAATCAAAACCAATGTATAATAATTGTGCTTTGATTGGTGGTATTATATGTTTAGCTGATGTATTTTTACTTGGAGCTGATAGTCAAACAGATAATCCAGCTCGTTTTGTTAAATTATGTCAAGTTAGAAATTATTGTTTTTTTTTTGTTAAACGATTTATTTAATTTATTTTTATATAATTTTTGCTTTTAGTTAAAAGGTTCACTTTTAGCTGCTGGTTTTTCATTATGCTTTGGTGGTTTATTAGCAAAACTTGTACGAACTTATCTTTTATCAACAAAAAAAACTATAGTTTGTGTTTTAGCATTCTTTTTTTCTTTGTCATTATATATTGCTTATATTCTAGAGTCATATTTGGTCAATGTTTGAACTTTTTATCATAGTTGGAAGTTTACTTCTTATTGATTTAATTGTATTTGTTATATGGCATATAAAAGATCCATTACATTTTAGTTCCGAAGCAACACGTGAAGGTCCAATAACAAATGATGTTAAAACTGTTTATCAATTTCAACAATGTCGTTCAAATCATCATATGATATGGATTGGACTTTTATATTCTATTAAAGGTATATTAATTGTTATTGGAATTTATTTAAGCTATGAAACTCGAGCAAGTAAAATTGAAATGATAAATGATGCACATTTAGTTCGCATGTGTACTTATAATATATTTGTAAGTTAATTTCTTTTTAAATAAAAATAAAAATAAAAATTTTTTTCTTGATAATATAATATAGATTGTTTGTTTAATTTCGGCATCATTAACACTTATTATTGAACGTAATCAAGATGCTGATTTTGCATTTGCATCCATAGCTATTATTCTTTGTTGTTTTGTCTCATTCGGTCTTATATTTTTACCAAAAATTTTATGTATTATTCGTGGTCGTGATCAACCCTTCTCATCAGTCGATAATAAAGCACATTCAAGATCAAATTCAGCTGGTGGTCATGGTACAAATCCTACAGTTCAACAATTAAGTAGTGAAGATGAAGAAAAATATCGAAAATTAGTTTCAGAAAATGAACAACTCAAATCATTAATTTCTGAACGTGAAGCACGTGTCAATGAATTAATACAAAAATTAAAACAACGTGGAAGTAATATTGTTATACGTGATGTTCAACGATTTAGTGGTAGTCTTGGTGTTGGTCATACGTCGGCTATTCATGATGGAGATCTAACAAGTACAACTGATACAGCAGCTTATGTTATGCGACGTCGATCAACGTTTGTTAATCCGATTACATTGAGTACACGTATATCAAATGCTATACTCTCAACAAGAGCATCGGTAACAGATAAAACGATTGAAGTACCAACAGAAGCAAATAATATTAAACGTGCATCAACATCAAAATATCGTGAATCTGTTTGTTGAAAAGAAATATTTCTAGAAAGAAAAGGAAGAAGAAGAAGAAAACAGTTTTATAAGAATATAGAATACTTTTTTTGGATGTATATAAATATGTATTTATATTATCTGTTGAATAAGTATTAATCGAATTCAGCCGGTATCTATTGAAAATAAATATCAGTTTGCAAGTTTATTTTTTTCTTTCATTTTTTTTTTTGATAGATGGAATTTACAAAGATATTTTACATATGACTCAATATAAGATTGAAGTGAACAGAGTTGTGTGACAAATGGATTAATATCGATTATTGTTATGCAAAACATTTGCTATTTGAATAGATTTGAATAATTTTTTTGATTAAACAATGAAATAAAAATATGTGCAATTATATAGACTATCAACTTGTAAGATTATTTCTTAATAATTCTAATCGTAATATTCTTACTAGAGTCTAACTTTTATCTTAGATAGAAATTATACTGTATTTCATCATGTTCTTGTATTTAAATCGTAGAATATATACAATTTATATAGGTTTCGCTTAGTTTCAAAATTTATTTAATATACAATAGAAAAGTATGAAATTTGCTGCATTTAACTGTCAAAGGATCCTTCATGTCATCTTAACTATGAGTTCTATATTATCATACCATCCGTAGACAGAAAATTCTATTGTTACTTTAGGCTGACACGGGCGTAATGATGTTCATTATGTAAAACGGATGCAAAAAGAAAATCAGACTGCTGATTTGTTAAAAATAAACGTAGTCTTACCTTACGCAAAGTTGCCAATAGAAATCAATTGATTATAATGATTGTCAATATGAATGAATGGTGCATGCATACCAGAGACGTTGACAAGACTAGCCCATTTTGATTCAACTCTCCCGACTCATGCTCCATAGATGGCTTGGACATTTGACGTGTCACGGGCTTATGGGCTAGATATTTTCATGATTTACACGTTTCACGGATCGGCTTATATTTTTACGTCTACCTATGGGTTGAACTCGTTTACAAATTGTGCTTTTCATTCTTTATTCCTTCGTTCTGCATATAATTACGTCCACTATTCATGCCGTTTCTTTGTTTCTATGCTGATTTAGTTGCTTTTAATGTTTCTGTCATTCTTCATCGCTTGCATTCTTTCTATTATTTGCTCTCATTATATCTTCATTCTAGTCATTCGTCTACTTGTTTTGAAGCATATACACCATAAATGCATTTTAGATATGGGTATAGATCTTCTCTTTTACGCACCAAACCAAGAAACCGAACCCACACGCACACTCGTACAAAACAAAGCTTTTCGAAAGATATGTTATTAGGTCGTTTAACGTTAAAAAAATGTAAATTAAAGATGTGTAATCTAGTTATTTTTCAAATTTTTTCTGCAATTATCGTCATTATATTTATAATCAAAGTGGTATCTACTATATTAACATTATATTATATAAATTTAGATCCCACTTTTAACAGACTTTCATTCGCTATAAAATTCACTTTTATATCTCTCAGAGTTTATACTGTACTCCGTAGCAAAATATTTTTCTTCAGTCTATATTTAGAGATTTTCTCGAATCATGAAAACAGATGATACCTTAGTCTTAGCTCTATAAAGCTCATATTGACATTGAAAACATGAAATTAGTCACATATATGTATTAGAGATAATGAATCGCAGAAAAAAAATAAAAATAAAAAATTGATGTCTTCAATTCGAATCAAAATTGTAGAAGAAAACGATGAACTAACATATCAAAAGTATTGAATATGAAGAAAGAAGTGAATTGTTCATAGATGAAATGAACATGTAATTGTCTTTGTAATTTGATCGAAAGTTGTTTCCAATCACAATCCGAAATATATATCTGGAATAATCAATTTCTCGTCATTCAAATATATTATATTGAAAATAAAATTTTATCAAAATACAAGTCATTATTTGAACCTGATTTATTTATAAAAAGTGACGAAAAGTAATCTTAACTACAACAATGAAAAAAAGTAGAAAAAAAATGACTTCGATTGACTAGTACATTACCATCCAACATTTATTTTTAATGAAAATGATAAAAATGTTAGTCGACATTCTTGAATTTATTCTGTCCGGATTCTTGTTTTTCTTGATTGATTGGACAAAATTCTTTTTAATCCTAAAAGTCACATAAGATTCTTTTGACAAGAAAGAATAAAAGATTCTTGCCTGATCTTCAAGATACATCGCTCGATGTCTTTATGTACATATGTATATCAATGTCTATACATGATTTATTCATTTTTAAATAAGAACAGTTAGTGGTTATTGTGCTCACTTAAACAAACAAAAGGTATTCTTTTCGAATAACGCATGAGTTGCATGTCAACATCAGATAAGTGAAAATATTTAATAGTAAAGATGCATTTATTGACATATATTAACGAGTTAAAAGATAGTTGATTTTAGAGTTTTCAAATACAACTTTATCAAAGTAATGGCTTAATGATATACCAATTATTATCGATTCCGGGTGACACATATGAAGAAGACGAATTATATTAATAGATATATACAGGGGTGGCGCGAGTCAACTAACATTGGGGGGGTGTAGCGAAATTTTTTGGACTAGAAAGACGAAGTCTGCAATTTTTCGGGGGTGTAACATTGTTTTTGGTGACAAATGGAAAAAAATTTCCTGATTTTGTTGAACAAAAAAACAGAAATTTTTGAAGATTGGGGGGGTGTTGCACCCCCGACTACCCCCCGGTCGCGCCACCCCTGGATATATATATATATTATTGATGTAAATAAAATATTTTAATCATCTCTTCTTAATTTTCATCTAAATAAAATAACTCATGTGATGAAAACCGGCGGTTAACCGCGGTTTTACCAGCCCGATTACCGGATCCCATCGCTACAATTTACCGTGGTAAACCACCGGTTTTGACGAGTACCGCGGTTTACCGCTAAAATGAACCGGTTCGCCGATGATCATTGACATTCGGTTGCTCCAAATCATTGATTTTGCTATTTTAAATGTTTTTTTTCTTGTATCTTTCCATGTCATAAAAATGCTCGAAAAAATCGCCGGTTTACCGCGGTTTTACTGATCCAATTACCGACTTCTGTTACTGCAATTTATCGCGGTAAACCGCCGGTTTCGATAAATACCGCGATTTACCGCTAAAAACTATCCGGTATTTACGATATGAGAACGGATGCGCCAGATATAATGGCCGCGCTTTGCATTTCAATTTTCATTTACTTAATATGTTGTATTAAAAAAACAAAATATACCACAAGATGCAGCGTGAAAAGCTCTACAATTTACATAGTCAAGCTTATTGTAATTGTGTTCAAAAAAAAAAGTAAAATTTTATATGACCGAGTTTCACGTGGTCGAAATTGGTTGGCTCAAAACTTTGCCCATTTTGAAAACTCAAAAGTTAAGTATAAAATGAGCGATCTTGTGTAAATTGTAAAACTTTTTACGCTATATCTGATGCACCCATTATTTAGTATATCATTTTTCTGTCTTTCTTTTTATGTGTACTTATTCTTTTTATCATTTATTGCTTGTTTTCTAATAAGCATGTCAGATTCAACAAAAAAAGAACTCACGCAAGAAAGTCAAGAAAAAAAAGGAATCAGACCAACATTCAAGAAGAAAAGCTTATTAGTGCAGCCCTTTTTGGGGTTGAAATGTGGAACTCACATAAATTTTTTAGCCTCATTAAACTCATACAAAATACATAAAGTGGAAATTCTCATAGACTATAGTTGTTTTATTTTTGCATTTCAAACAGAATTTTTTACTTTTTGAAGAGAAAAATTTGCTAAGGTCTGTAATGACAGAGAGAGTCGAAAATTTCGACTTAAAGCTTACACTCACTATTTTCTTCGAAAATATATGTGAGTTCCACAAAAGCATCAGGTAAGAAATTCAAGAAAAAAAGGACCCAAGCAAAAATTTAAGAAAAAAAAACAATCAGACATGAAAGTTAAGAAAAAATGCATCAGACTGAATTCAAGAATACAAGAATATTGTCTGATATTCAAGAAAAATAAAAATCTCGAAAGAATATATTCAAAACGTTTGATTAGTGAAATAGTAGAAAAACTCTTGATTTTGAAAGGTTTTCATCTTAGAAAATATTGATTTCCTTCAATCGATTTACAATGATATTGACAGTTGGTATTTCAAGCAATATCGCATGAGTTCCATCGACTTGTTCAATGCGTAAGTTCGGCAATAAAGTTCTCCAAACTTTATGTTTCCTTTCATTTGGAGTTCTTGAATTGTTTTGTGTTAATGTGAACATAATTGTTTGATTGTCTAACATAATTTCATGTGAATTGACTGCTGATTCAAATGTATAATGTTGTAATGCGATCATTTGTGCTTTGATAACATCGAAAACTTTATCCGTCATCAGATCTGAATGATTTGTCAATGATGTATGACCATTCTGTTTATTCAGATGAAATCGTTGTTTGATTTCTTCTAACATTTTTTGCATTAGAATGTCGACTTTTTCTTGTTCCACTAATGATGAATTATTGAATGAATCCATCGAATCATTGAAACTATCATCTTTCATCAAATATTTGTAGATAAATTCTAAATTTTTCAATGAACCAAATTGATTATGATCAACTTGTTCGGATATGAAAGAAGTTTGTTCAGTAGGTATTGGAGGATCAATTAGAATCAATGATCGAACTGTTGCTTGATGTTTTTCATTCAATTGTCGAACCATTTCATAAGCAACAAGTCCTCCAAACGAATACCCAACTAAATTATATGGACCAATTGGTTGTATTCGTTTCATTTGAAAGATATATTCTTCAGCAATGTTTGGAATTGATTGAATTAACGATTCATTAGGTCCGTAACCACTAGCACGAAAAGCAAAAATTGATGGTGATTGATTTTGATAGGTTTCAACCATTTTCACTGCGAATTTAATAAATGTTTCTGAGAGACCAATCATATCATGAATGCAAAATAATGATGATTTTGATGCTGAATAATACAATGGAGAGATGAGTGAAATACCTGTATAATAGATTTGTGATTCGTCGATGGTTTCTTTCTCTGACAATGAATAATGATTAGTTGAATCATTACCAATATCGACTGATTGATCAATATTATTCAAATGAGGTATCATATTGACATTGGTTTGTCGATTCAAAAGTTTATTTTGAATATATAAAGCGAGATCACTGATTGAACTACCTTGTAAGAGATCGACAAGAGGAATCATAACAGATGTTTCTTTTGCTAACCAAGTACGAATTTCAATAGCACGTAATGAATCCATTCCTTGATCGACTAGAGTTCTATCGAAATCAATACGATCAGTATTTATTGCATTGAAAATTTTTGCAATACCGAGACGAATTTTAGTTTTTAGACTTTCAATATCCAATGCAATTAGATTAGTATCGTTGGATGAAACTAATGTTTCTTGTTTTTCTTCTTTCGTATTAATATATTCATTGCCAAGATTATTCAATCTCAATGGTAAATTCATCGAAAGTAAAGTTCTCCAATCGACAACAAACATTACTGGTGTCGAAATATTTCTTCTTTCTTGTTGAATTCGATGTAATTCTTCAATCATTAAAAAAACATAAATTGTTGGCAGTAAATGTATACCTTGTTCTCGCATTAATTCAACAATCGATTGACCATGTTGTTGAAGATAACCAGCTCCAGAAATGGCTGGTAAACTAATGGAAAGTGCTGGAACTTTTTTCGAATACCATCGCCAATGAGCCAATGCATCAAGAAAATTATTTCCGGCATTATAATTCGATTGTCCTGAATCAGCAATATGATTTCGAATCGATGAAAACATGATAAAAAATTCAATGGGACACGAAATTTGTTCAGTTGCACAATGAAGATTCCATGCACCACGAATTTTTGGTTGCATTACCGTTGACAAGATTTCTGGAGTCATATTTTTTAATAAACAATCATGTAAAATCATGGCGGTATGAATGATACCACGAACTGGATAATGAGGATTTTGATTGATATGACGAATAACTTCGAGTACTTGATCGAATTCTTTTACATCGGCTTTCATCACTTGAATCGATGATTGATATTGTTCAGCCACTTGTTCGAGTTTCTTGCATTCTTTGTATTGGGAACTATTCTGATCCAATTCATCAATCGATCTTCTTGATAGAAGCACGATTCTTTTAACAGCACGTTCTTTTATCATCCATTTCGACATGTCTATGCTAAGACCACCTAAACCTCCACTGATCAAAATTGTTCCATGATTACAGACCGTATCCGAAAACATATTACCTAAAATTGAAATTGACATTGAAGACTTTTATATCATTATTATGAGATCAATGTTCAATTTAGTTTTAGTTAAAACGAAAATAATCTCTTCATAGCTCTTCAAATCATTGATCAACTTAGGTATTTCAGAGTTTGATCAAATATTTTGACTGAATAAATCCCTTAAATCGACTTTGAAGAAAAAATTTTGAAAGAAGTTTTTAAGAAACATTAGTATCACATGTCTTTTTGTATTTTTCTATTTTGTTCAAATAAACAAATTAAATTGATTCTAATTTGTAAATTCGTAGAATGACATTATGGATATGAAAAGTTTCTGCTAGAATTTCATGCACAATATTCTAATGAAATATGTCAAACGTTATTGATTTGCGAGAAAGGATTCAATGTTCAGGTGAGACGAACTGAACTATCGATTCTTACACATAAAACTAATTTCTCTTTAAGTCGAAATTTTCAACGAGAGAAAATTCAAAAATCTTGGTGGGTGTCAAGACAGACTGTAGATCTCGATCGATGTTTAAAGAAGTCCTATTCAAATAATGTCAGCTAGAGACAAAATTTAGCAAGAATATAAAATTAAAAAAAAACAAACCTTGTTGATGTTGTTGTTGTTGTTGTTGTTGTCGTCGTCGAGTGTGAGAATTGTGCAGTTGTAAAGGTTGATCTGATTGACATATTCGAATGACAAATTTGCCGATATGCGTTGCTTTTGCATAGGTAGCAAAAGCATCTTGTATTTGTGATGCTTCAAATATTTTAATCGGCATTAATGGTTCGAATTTTTCTTGATGAGACATATCAGAAACATATTGAAGAAGAGTTTGAACTTTTTCTGGATAATATTTGTGTAATGTCACAGCATCGATAACATGAAAAGTAAGACCTGGACGCAATGATAATAATGATAATTTTGTATTAGCATAAACATCACGTTTGCCAAGTTCAATAAAGTGACCGTATGGTGCGAGTAATTTCAATGATTCAGATATAAAATGACCAGAAAGTGAATTCACAATAATATCAACAACACCATTTGGAGTTATTTGACGAACTTGTGTAACAAATGATAAATTTCGACTATTAAAAACATGTTCGATTCCACAATGTTCACGTAGGAATTGTCGTTTTTCATCATTTCCAGCTGTAGCTATAATTTGGGCACCGACCATTCGACAATATTGAATTAATGCGAGTCCAACAGCACTTGCTGCTGAATGAATTAAAATGGTTTGTCCAGCTTGTAAATAAATACAATCACGTAAGCAATGAAATGCAGTTAAATAAGTTGGTAAAACTGATAGTTGTTCCATTGTTAAATGTGATGATGCTTGAGCAATTTCATTTTGATCGACAATTATTTGTGAGTGAAATGCTCCATTATTCAAAACTATTCCAAATATTTGATCACCAATGTTGAATTTCACTTGAGAACCTTTTCGAATAATTTTACCCGAATAATCCATACCAACAGCTTTATCACTATCATATGGAGTTCGAACGCCTCGTAGATGGGGATGTAAACCGCGTACTTTTAACATATCTCGAAAAGTCAAACCGATACAATAAATTTGAATTTGAACCTGTGTTGGTGCGAGACTAATGTCATTCGGATCTTGTTCAGTACGAATCCATTGAAGATCATTGATCAATCGAGATTTAGGCACTTGCAATCGAAAATGAACATGATCACTGTCTAAGTTCGGAATGATTGTTGTTGTCGTATTCAGTAGATTTGATGAGTTTGATGGTTCGATCATTTGATATATAGGTAATAATCGTTGAATAATATTATCATTTTCACTTGAAGTTAAAATAACTTCTTCGTCACATAAATTATCTGATGAACACGAAATAGTCGAATTCATTTCATTGATTAATGCATTGATAAGAGCTGATGAGAAACTTGAAGTTTGAATGTCAATTAATTTCATTCGATTGATTGGATATTCATTGATGAGTGATCGAGCAAAACCAATAATTGGTGATTGATTCAAATTCAAATGTTGACATTCATTTTTATTCATTAATTGACCATTTTGAGTCAAAATAAAAATATTCGGATGATGATCGAATTTTACTTCGTATATCGATTGAATAATGTGCATCAATGTTCCACATCCAATTTCTTCTTGAGCTTGAAAATTTTGATTATTTTCTCCGTTCGAATTCAATGTTGGCAAATCTAATGACCAACCAAAAATCAAATTTAACGATGAATTATTTGAAACTGATTTCTGTTTAATCAAATCTCGAATAGTTGAAGAAATCAAAGATATATTTTTGATCTCAATACATTGAAATCGATTGATTAAATTTTGATTCTCATTATTTTTTGTTGATAAATAAATTAAAATTAAGTTTTGTGGATTAATTTCATGTTGCAATAAAACAGTTGCAATTTGTTCGGCAAGTTTTTCCTTTTGATCGGCAAAGATAATCCAAGATTGTTCGTTTGATAATATATTTGTTGATGATGAGAATAATTCGAGTTCAACTGGTTTCCAAAATTCCCATGCACAAAAACGATTGATCAATTCGTTGACATCGACTGTCTTTTTTGGATTCGTATTAAAAATCGAACTACTTTCATCGATTCTTTCAAATATAGATTTTTTCATTAGTTCATCTCGAATTTTTTCTAATTTAAATCCACGAAATATCATTATCGAATTTGATGTTGATGTTGAACAAGACGATTCATTAGGACTACTGAATACAACAATGTCTGATGTATAAGTTTCTTCTGGTGTAATTCCTTTTATTGATGAATGTAGAGATTGAAAAGCGTATAGATTTCGTTTCTCTTGTTGTATAATAGAAAACAAAGTTTTCTTTCGATCACAAACGATGAGTTCTTCAATGCTAGCAGGAATTGCAGTTTCATAGAATTTAAGAGGAATAATAGAAATCATTCCTTGAAAAGAACCATCTATGATCGCCGGATGGAACATATACTGTTGATGATTGTCATCATTTAAAAGTGATTTTGGAATAAACAATTCTGTCAATACTTCCGAATCTGTACTATGTAATGTTTTTACACTTTGAAATCGAGATCCATATTTGAGACCACATTGAGCAAAATAAGTATATAAATTATTGATTTCATTTTCAGTCGTTGCTATTAACATATTTTTTTTAGTTAAATTTGATGATGATAAACGATTAAGAATCGAATTTAAATCATAGATTGAACTAATCAATGAGCCATCATCTTCTAAATGAATTGAACCAGAACAATGCAAAGTCCATTCTTTTGATGAATAAATATTTAAGAAATTTTCATCATCAAACTTTGTTGTAATATCATTACCACTAATACCAGAGAGTCGAACAGTATCATTAGTGTATCGACGACTGTAGATGAAAAATTCACGAAATGGCATTATAATAACAGTTTCAATTTGGATTTGATTGTTTTCATCGAGACGAAGTGCATTCAAAAATTGAATATTTTTGAATTTAATAGATTGTTGTTGTGAGGATAGAAGAAATAGAAGTTGATTAACAGCTGCAATCACAAGTTCAATAAAACCAGCAGCAGGAAATAAAATACTTCCTTGAACAACATGATCACATAAATAAGAGTATTCAGCTGAATTTTGACTAAGTAAAAATCGATTTCTCCATGTTGGTGTTTGTGCTTCATTGTGCCAAAGACGATAACCAAGTAAAGGATGATGTTTCTTCATAATAGCTCGGCGTTTAAATACAGAATCTTTTGGTTCATACCAACACACTTGATCATTAAATGTGTAATAAGGAATTTGATCAATCCAAAACAAGATTTCATTCTTATCAATATTGGTCGTTGTCAATTGTGCATAGGAACGTGAAAGCCAAAATTTGTTCCAATCGATCAAATTCGAACCGAAGAACGAGAATAATTGACAAAGTGATGATAAAATCGTCTGTTGTTCGTTTTCTTTGCGTCGAAGTGAATGAATAATCAATGGTAATTGAATTGATGATAATGTTTGCGATTTCTGAAAATATTGGAAACATTCTGGAATAGCTGCCGAAAGAACTGGATGTGGTGATATTTCGATAAATACTGGAATACCATTTGAACGAGTTTGTTCAGCAAGAATCGATTGCATCGCTGCATCGAATAGAACTGGATTTCGAACATTTTTCCACCAATATTCACCATTCAAAATAGATTGATCAGAACGAGTTCCTGTGACAGTTGAATAAAGAATAGCATTCGAACATATTTCATCAAATTCACTGTTGTGACCATCACCTTGAATATTGGAAAGAGAATCGAGAAGTTCTTCACGAATATTAAATCGTTCCATTTGTTTACTATGAAATGCATTTTGAATTTTGAGCCAAGCTTTGAAAACCTTTGGTCTATTCGTCGAAAGATGATTAACTATATTCTCTATAATTTCACCATCACCACTCAATGTCACAGATCCTGGACTATTAATTGCCGCAATTTGAACTTGATCTTCGACTCCATTGAGTAGTTCGATAGTATCATTTTCACTAAGAAGCAAAGCTAGCATTCGTCCACCTTGATTTGTATTATAATTTTGTACACGTGAACGATGATAAATGACTTGAACCGTTTCTCGCAATGTCAATCGACCGGCAACAAATGCTGCAGCGACTTCACCAACAGAATGTCCAACAATAATTTTCGGGCGAATGCCCCATGATAACCATAAAGCAGTTAAGCCAATTTGTATAGCTAGAATCGCTGGTTGAGCAACATTCGCTTGATTGATTTGTGAATCATTTTCATTTTCTGGTTCAATCAAATGTTTGATTAATGAAAAAGAATTATTCGAAATAGAGATAAATTCTGCATCGATCTTTTCGATCCATTGACGAAAGATCGGTTCGATAAAGAATAATTGACGTCCCATAGCCCACCATTGAGGACCTTGACCACTATAAATAAAACAAATATTTCCATTGGCTTGATGTCGTATAGAAATTTGTTCTTGAGGAAAAATGATACTGGGACAATCAGTTTTATTCAATAAGTATGATTCCAATTGAACTTGTAATTGCTTGCTATCAGAAAAGAGAAATGATAAACGATGTGAAAAATTCGTCGTACGTTTCAACAAGATTTTCTCAGACAAATAACTCAGAAACAATTTTTCCGATGTTTGAGATACATGTGCAAGTGCTGTTGAAAGCCATGTTGAAAATTTCTCCGCGTGTTTTTTCAATGATTGATCAGATTTAGCTAGAAGAATCAATAAAGAAACATATCAAATCAGATTATCAATTATAATACTTACAAGAAAATGTCAAAATAAAATATTCTGAAAATTTTTTATCTTCATTTTGAATGGCAATTGCATCATTAACAAATGATATTGAACATTGTTTGATGGGCAAAAAGATTTTGTTCATATTGTTTGGAAAATATTGATTCACATAATCTTCTGACCATTCAGTAATAATCGCATGAGCATTATTACCACCGATACCAAAACTATTAATTCCAATAGTAATAAGTTCATCAGGAAATTGTACAAGATGATTGACAATATGTAAATTATATTTCATTGCTTGAATATTTCGATTCGGACGAGTGAAATTCATATTCGGTGTAATCATTCGATATTTCATACACAACGCTATTTTAATTAATGAAGCCACGCCAGCTGTACCTTCAGTATGACCAATAACACTTTTAACTGAACCAATGAAAAGTGGAGGATCATAACGTGATCGTTTGAAAAATGCTCCAAGAGTATTGGCTTCAATTGGATCTCCAACTTGTGTTCCGGTACCATGACCTTCAATATAAAATACATTTTTAGGATCAATATTACTACGCATATAAATATCATTGAGAAGTATCGTTTGTCCATGACTTGATGGAACATTGTAACCAGTTTTCCCTTGATTTCCATCATGACTTGCCATTACATCACGAATGACACAATAAATTTTATCTTTATCTCGTATAGCATCGCTCAATCGTTTGAGAAGGACCAAACCAACTCCTTCACCTAGAATAATAGATAAAGAGATATGTCATATTTTATTTTATCTAATGATAAGTGACAAAATCATTAGAGCTGAGACTCGATGCTCAAATCTTTTTTTTTCTATAAAGACCGATCATAGTTGCTGAGATTCGGACTAAAAAGTTCTATAATTTATTTTTGATCTAAGAGAAGAACTATCAAAAACTCTATTCTAGAAAACGTAATAACAATAAGCTATCAAACATGTCACTCAATCGGAGCATTTGAAAAGTCGAGACTAGATATGTCATTTTCATTTTGTTAATCTGGATCTCATCGATATTGATTGAAGAGTGTCTCGATCGTCTTTAAGTATCCAATCTGATCGATTTAAGACTGGTTGATAGTTCGAATAAAACTAACTGAATTAATATTATAATTAGTGATTTATGTCATTCTTTAAGCGCCTCTTTTAGCAATCGAGAAAGAGTCAAAGAAAAAAAAAGAGTATTTCCATAGTATCGTTCTCACAAAGTTAAAAAGATTTGAATTGTTGAATCCATCGAAGAGAATAAACAATTCATCTTTCAATCGAAAAAAATTCTGATCAATCGATTGAAACAATGAGACACAATCACATGTCGTGTTCCTTTTTTTGTTGAAATGATTTTTGATGGAATCATTTACTTACCTTTTGCATAACCATTGGCATCTTCACTATAAGAACGTGATCGACCATCAGGTGAAATCGCACCAATAAATGATGCAATGAAAAATGTTTCAGGTGTGTAATTCAGATTTGCTCCACCAGCTACAGCTAAATTTGCTTCACCATTGCGTAAACTTTGAACAGCAAGATGAATGGCTTGAAGCGAAGAAGAACAAGCTGTATCCAAAGTTAAATTTGGACCAAGAAGATCATAATAATAAGAAAGTCGACTGGAAGCATTGTAGAGCGATATATTTGGTCCCATTAGAGTATGATCTTCAATTTTTGTTCTATGAATTGTTGTTGCATGATCATTTGTAAATTGACCAATGTAAACAGCTGTTCTACTACCTCGAATTTGATCGAATGTATAATTGGCATCTTCTATGAGATGGAAAACTTTTTTGAGTAGGAGACGATGACATGGATCCATGATCATTGCTTCACCATCTGTTATACCGAAAAACGATGGATCGAAATTGTTCAATTGATTATCATTGAGAAAATAGCCACGACGAATGAAAGATTTGTTGGAATTGAACATCGAAGCATAGGAATATACATCGAAACGTTCTTTTGGAATTTCACTTCCAATATCAATGCAGTTTTTCAGAACATTCCAATATGATTGAGGTCCATCAATCCCATTGGCTAATTCACAGGCCATTCCAATCATGGCTATCGGTTCCAAATTTTGTTGCATGTTTTGGCAATTCCCCTTAGTTTCCTGATTATTGAAACCACATCTAACACACTCTAAGTAGATGTCACTCATGAATAATTATTTTTGAGCAAAACAACAAAGCTTTTCTATCTAAAAAAAATATAAAAGTGAATTAATTGACAAGAAATTAAACTAAACACAATCACAAGAGATGTATTCGAAAATGTCGATGAATTATAATCCGAAAAATCAAAAATTATTTCGATATTTCTGCAAAGTGAAATTTTCACATTTGGAATCAAATATTTTCGATTTGAATTCAGAAAAGGATGAGTTAAGAGGATTTCGACCGCTTGTTAGAAAAAGAGTGAATCAATGGAATTTATACAAATGAAACTTTTTCTAGATTTTAGTCTTCCAGTTAGATGAAGTATAATCGACAACGATTTTTTTATCATGACAAAAAGTTAGTTGATGTGTAATATGTAAAGATTAAGCTTATTCTTTAGGAACATAAGGGCTCATATAGATTTGTTCTGAATAATTTAAAGAAAAAAAGTAGGTAGCAAGTTCGGATCTTGATTTCAGAACTTTATCTCGAAAACACTACCGTAAATAGAGCTGTTAAAGTACATTGCAGAGACACCAACTCGACAATAATCAATCAAGTTTGCAACAAAAAATTTCACGCGAAATAATATTTGTGTCAGTCACATCAATCGTACTGTTTCGACTGACATCAGTGGCCCACATACTGTTGCCACACTGACTTTACATCAACTTGATTGATTGATCTTGAGATAGTGTGCGTGTGTGTGTAAATGTGCAATGGCTAGGACTAGTAGTGAATGTATGTAAAGTTATCGATTTTTATAAACCACTGACACATTCTCACATCAGCACGTACACACTTGGTTCAATAATCGGATAATTCTCTGATTTCGTTGGTTCAATAACTCATGAGTTATTTCAAAGGTAGTGAAGGGTACTATCATTATTTGGGTGAAGTCGCAGTATGTTCCTTGTGTCAGAGAGTTGTTTTTTATCGCTTTTCTTCATAATAATTTAAAGGAGGATGGTTTTTCTTCAATTGGATTTTTATCACCATCGTTGTTCGTAATCGTAGCTTCTCAAAAGAAATACTTTTTAAATAAGCATTTAGTTATTTAAGTACTTACATAGCTATTTAAGTTTTTCATAGCTATTTATAAGTGTTTGCTTAGCTATTTAAGTCTTTCATAGCTATTCAAGTATTTGCATAGCTATTTAAGTATTGCCATAGCTATTTAATTTCTTCATAGCTATTTAAGTACTTGCATAGCTATTTAATTTCTTCATAGCTATTTAAGGTTTCCATAGCTATTTAACTAGTTGCATAGCTATTTAAGTATTTAGATAGCTATTGAAATCATTCATAGCTACGTATAGTAGCCTCAACAAGACTCATTTGACCGATGACGAATGATGCCAAAGTTCGGTTTTGAGAACTTTCTGGTACATAATTAGTCATTGAAGTTTATGTAGTACCAGTTGGCCGTCGATGAATGATAGTTATATTTATAGAATCTTCTCAATATTGTATTCATCGAATACTATACATAAGATATCCTACAACATGACACAAAACCGTAACAAAAAATAATTCCTGCTATATATATATAAGAATCAAATCCGCAAAATGTACTCATAATAAATAATGGGATCTTATTCTAATAGATATCATTGTAATAAAAATTATATTCAATATCTTTAACTAATGCAGTAGCTGCAGAATTCCTTTCTCAAAACCCTCGACATACACAGATGAGTATATGCTCAATTTCGACAAGTTATCAACCTTTCGAGAATACTGCTGTGTATCTACGAGTACTGCAGCTGAGAAAAGTTGAAGACCCATATGTAACTATCCTAATGTTTGTTTTTCCCTCCCCCTCCAACCCCCTACTCGTACAGATAAGTAACATAGACAAAATCCTTCATGCTCAGTTCAACGGCAATAACAACTTATTTACTACTACTGCTAATCATTAAATACTGCTTCGATTTCATCAACTAACCATGCGGATATTTAAAAAACTCGAATCTTAAATAGACACAACAGAACCATTCGAATAGCTATACCACAATTTAAGTAGCCATGTGGACAGTTAAATAGTTCTGAAAAAATTGAATACTTATGCATGTACTTACATACCGATGTAAATACTTAAACACCTATGGAAAACTTAAATAGCGATCCAGATACTTAAATAGCTATGGAAAACTTAAATAGCTATGCAAATAGTTAAATAGCTATGTAAATACTTAAACAGCCGTAGCTGCATTAGAAAGCTGGAAAGTTTTCACAGTCATTTGTGTTAGACACAAATTGTATCTCTTTTGAGAGTGAGCCGTTCATAATCGGTGACTCCAGAATGACAGACAGCTTCTTCTTGTCCTTGGCTAGAGAGCTTGGATCTGCAAGATGCAAGAATATTTTCTTAGTTCCTAAATAAGTAATTTTCGGTCTCTCTAGAAATTTCCATCATAGAATCATCACTAATCAAAACCATAATCAGACATTTATTGCAAATTTCATAAGTTTTGCAGATTTTATAGCAACTTAACACTACAACGAATGTAAAAATACTTTAATAAGCCCAAAAATTCCTCCACAATCACAAGCAACATACGAAACTAAGTTCCGAAATTATTCTAACACAACAAGTAAACTTCTAGAAATTCTATATAATCACCATGGTTCACATATATAACATCAGAGATATTAGCAAGAATTTTTGGAAATAATAACGAAATTTTCATACATAAACTAAAAAATAAGCATGTGTCTGATTTCACATAATAACACTAGGAAGAAACGACCAAGTGAAATAAAATGTTGTGTAGCTCTTGCAACAGTTCAATATTACACCAACTTGGGTGTTCTTTTTGTTATCTCAATAGTTGGATATCTCCATATAAAATATTTCGAGAAGATTCGAAAGTTACCAGGGTTACATGGGAATTCTACAAATACTGTGTAACACTCGCAACAGTCCACTGTCACACGAGCTTTCATCTTCTTGTTGTCATCTGTTTAGTTGGATATCTTCAAATAATATATCTCAAGAGGCTTCTGAAATTACCAAGATTACATGAAAAATTCTTCAAAATGCTGTGTAATAGTTGAAACACAAAAACACTTCATCGAGTTGCATGATCCTACTATTATATGAATCGTTGAATATCTGTCTGCATAATACTTATCTCGAGAAATTCCCTCATTCACCAATATCACATGAAAACTCTCGAATAAGCTGGATAACCAAGTCAGAAAAAGCAGATTTCATGATTCTATGAATCTGTTGAGTCCGAGTGATTCGGAATGATTCCAATGGTTCCAATGATTCTAAAATGACTCTGACTACAAGAATAGGGAAGAAAATTTACAGTTATGTTATTAAGTAACAGGTAACAACAAATTTGTCTATTTGATTTATTCGTCATTAAATAGCTATTGGAAAAAAATCAGGACATTTTATATAGTTGGATTAAAGGTTTGCAGGATCAACGAATCCAAATCTGTAAATGAATTCTTGAAATTGTATACTTGATTTTAATAGTGCGCCTTGATTAACTGATTACTACACATGTATACACACGCTTTATACCCTTTGTTTTCCGATGATGTGGTTACTAGGTTATCAAAATTATTCATTCGCATACACATATGTATATGACTCCTTTTCTTTGAGAAGGTGGAGCAAGGAGAACTTGTGTAACTTAAGAATTTCATATACATATATATACCCCTTCTTTTTGGAATGGTGGAACTTGGGGAACTTAAGAACTATATATACATTATATATATGTATATATTCCCTTTTTTTAAAGAGGATGAGACTAGAGGAACTTGGATGACTTAAAAATTATAGATTAAATATATATATATATATGTATATAATCCTTAAGTTCCCCAAGTTCCTCTAGCTCCACCCTTCCAACAAAAATGAGGTATAAGCATATACATATATGAATGAATGAATATTTCTGAAGTTCCCCTAGTGCTCCATTTCTATTTGAAATCAAGTGTTTTCCTTTTGATCTAAATTCAGATTGAAATCAAATACACCATTGTATGTCGGAAGTATAAGAATGTTATGATAATTATAGAAAGTATTTAATTGTTCACAGTGCAATGAGTAAATATAATTGCACTCCATTGGTGACCTTCCTACTCCAATCACAGTCTCTTCGAGATGCACTTAGAGATATGAGCAATTGAAGAGAAACATAGAATTTTCATGTTTGTCTTGTTGATGAGACAAGGAGAATGAACTAAACAAACATCAGACAGAAGACTGTTCTGTCTGTATAAATACACGAGAGGAAATGGGATGTCTTTGTCTGTTCTATTCATGCTTCAGAAATTGAACCAATACCGATAAGAATTTCAGACCCGCTGGTCTCCTAGTAGACCAATCATTACCTTTACATTGGCCTGATACCATTAGATTGGTCTTATTTACTTTAATATTCATATAATATAAGCTTACTCATACCTTCTAGTGGTTTTCATAGTAACTCATGGAGAACTTGTAATGAAATGTTTTTGAATCTAGCCATATCAAATAACATTGTCCTAAAAGGAATTTGGTACTGAGCATAACTAGGAGTGATGTCTTTTCAGATATTAGATCAGCCGATCTCTAGTAGACTGGCTGGTTCAGTCAGATATGATCTATTCAAACTGGTACTGATAACGATCTTCAACAAATCGGACTGATTTCATCTTTGTCATGTTTTAGTCAAAATACCATCGGTAATGGAAGCTTTGACTCTAATCTTTTCTATATTTTTCAGATTTTAGTGGAATTACTAACTTCAAATTAAAACTTTTTGTTTAACCTTTATCATATTATTATTATTACAAAAAATTATCAGATTGAGTTGTATCAAATACAAACGCATTGAATATTGTTTTGGAGCATCTATCAGCTTTGAATTACTGTATCTACTTCTCTTTAAATTAC